AAACCACCCACATTCTCTCCGTATTTCAACGATGAGAATTTCCACTTCTTCCCGCGAACTACTGCTCTGTGGAACAATCTCCCAAGAGAGTGTTTCCCCGATCACTACAATCTTAACCTGTTCAAGTCTAGAGTTAACCGTTATCTTCCACTTCTATCCAAACGAATCCTCTCCTAACGTAACCCTCTACCTCGGGTGGCCCCCAGGCCTTATAAAGGATGACCCTTACTGTAAAAAAAAAAGAACTTGAGATGAATCATTGCACCGTTACGGAAAATTATTTTTATTTGGTGATGAATTAACAGAAAAGATCCTTATTATCATTATTATTATTATTATTATTATTAGTAGTAGTAGTAGTAGTAGTAGTAGTAGTAGTAATGATGATGTAGATTGTTTTCCTAGTTCCGCGGCCAAACATCACTCAATGCTGCTGCTATATTCTCTAGCACAAGTTGATTGATAATGGAAGAACGCCTTTTAAATAATCTTAAAACTCAAGATAAAACAAATATTAAAAACAAACAGCACGTTTTATTCTTACAAAGAGTTTGTTGTTTCCGCATAGTGGTTCCATGTTGGCTATGAATAATATTAGATTAAGAGTTTTTACTGCAATGGGAATTCTGCTCACTAGAGACATGAGATACGTTCTACTATCAACAAATACAAGATACCTCTCCAAGTTTTCCTTTTTCAAAACCAACCTTATCCACGTGCAACATGCATCAGAGATATTGTCTGCTTCTTTCTGTTATCAATTCCATGTTCATCATTCTTTCTTCATTTTTTCTTTCTCAACATATTAAACCTCATTTTCTTTTCCTTTCTTCTCATTTATTTTCTTACATAATTTATTCGTTCTGAGTAAAACGTTAAACTACAACCACGTCCTGGGTAAGACGATAAACTATGTCCAGCAGCAAGGCCTCTGATCAGGAGGTTTTGACGAGCGTGGAACCACCTCTTAATTGCTGGTGTTCCCAGTTCCACTCTGGCTCGGGGTGGTAGCACCCGTTAGGGTCCCAGCTATGGGAAAATAGTTAACTATTACCAGCAATACTTTTTTGAAAAGGTTATTACCAGCAATACAATTTTGAAGGAAAAATATTACCAGAAACAGATTTTTGACAAAACAAAATATTACCAGCAATAAAGAATTTTGTCGGCATTGAGTAGCCCATTGGGGTTGGTGTGCCGTGGGATGAAATAAACCAAACCAATCTAAACCAAATAATACATATTCTATTCATACGAACCTATTCTAAAAATCTTGTCGGCATTAAATAACCCATTGAGGTTGATATGCCGTAAAACAAAATAAACCAAACCAAACATAATTTATAACCCCCCCTCTCTCTCTCTTTAATCATTATACCCCAAGTAAAGCAATAAAGCCACTAAGACACAAGGGGTTATTGATCATGAAAGAATAAGAATAAGATATTATTATTAAGGGACGAGAACAATAAAAGAAGAGGAATCAAGAAGACAATAGATGATGATTGACATTGCATTTAAATTTTTAAAAATCAGAGTCGACTGGAAAGCAAGAAGCCGAAAGAGAATTCCACAGGCGTGAAGGTCGAGAAATGAAACTCTTAACAAAGAACTAACGATTACATCTAACCAATTCAGCTCTAAAAGACGAGTTACTAATCTAATAGTACGCTTAACTTTATGAGGTCGAGGTACCAAAGAGGAAAGCACATTAGAACAATTGCCATGAAAATATTTATAGAAAAGACAAAGAAAATCAACGTTGTGCCAGTGAGAAAGTAACTTAAGTCGAGATGCCAGGTCGGGATATATGTATATTTATATTATAAACTGATCACACTGATACCTCACAATCATTCTTTTTGTTAAACAAAATGGGTTGTTTAGATTTGATGAATATGGTATCCAGAAATTTTAGATGAAAGTTTAAATTCGATCTAATTCCCACCAAAACATATCCTCGTGATACGCCGAAGAACATTGCCGATTAATTTTAATCGGCAATGCATTTCGGAAAATCTATAACTTATCCCGAGAAAATTAAAAAGTATGCCAAGCAAAAAGGAAAAAAATGTTGCAACAAATAAATACATGAAATATTGTAAAAGACAAGTTTCAAGTAAATTTCCTTAAAATAATTAATATTTACAGCGACTTTAGCAATAATTGTATGCGATTATTTATATGGTATTTACTCGATCCACCCCCATTAGGACGAGATGTGACACAAGGTTTTTTTTAAAGTGGGGACCCGAGCGCGTACACCTAGGCAAGGGACAAAAATTGCCATCAGCCCCCGCAACCGTCGATTGCGCTGGCCTCGGTGCGAGCACCGATCCCACCCTCTGGTGCAATGGAAGGGTGCGGCCTCGGGCAGCTGTTCCCCAGGTCTGGGCACCTCTCAGTATAATTTTCTCAGTTGCCTCTCTGTCCTTTGACAGAGAAGCCCCTGAGCGCACTCTGCCCAAAATCAGAGACGCAACTGAGAGATGATAAGCCTGCGTTAGAAACTCCTCCAAGGAGGAATTTATATGCTATGTGATTATTTATATTTGTTGGTTCAATTCGCTTGTCTTTTTTTATTTGCTTGCCTTACTTTAAATTTAGTCTCGTATTCTAATTAGCCTTTAGGCAAAGCTATAGAATGGGTGGGTGATGTAATGGATAGTGGCTCGGAATGAGATTTCGGAGAGTCGAGTTCAAATTCCAGTCGGGTTACATTCACTTACACGCAAATAGTCTTGGGAAAGATATAGATCCATCTCCTCCCCTAGATATGGGTTAAATAGTATCTGAAAAAATACCCCCAAAATTGTCAATGCAATATTCACTCACAAAAAATTGTTCTTACAATCCAAAAACGTTTCGCCTTTACATAACCCACAGATGGTAGATAAACCGTAAAAAAATAAATGTACCAATCAATCATACTAAGCTAAACTTAGTTATAAATATCAATAACAAAGTCTCTTGCAGTTCAGTAATCATTCGTATTGTAAAAATATTTACTTTCTATTAATCATCTGAGCGACTATTTTCTGCCTGCTACTAACATGGCTGAAGCTAATCTCCAGGAGAGTGCCTTCTTGCGCCTTCTCGAGCTAACGTTCTCTGCTGACATGAAGTGGAAAGATTATATTGAATCGATTGTTATGTCAGCTGCTAGGTACACTGTGTCGCACTAGACAATTTTCTCCACCAGAATGTATCTTACATATCTATAAGTTTACTATTCCTCCAGGCTTTGCATATTGCTGCCACATCTGCTCTGGTGTTCCTGTTATATATGTAGATATTTTTTTTATAAAATCTAAAGAATCTGCAATGTTGTTATTCCTGACCTGGCATCTCGGATTCAGTCACTTTCTCACCGTCGTAATGTAGCTTCCCTGTGCTTTTTGTATAAATACTTCCATGGTAATTGTTCTGATGAGCTTTGCTCTTTGGCACCTAGACTTTATGAATTTAAGCGCAGTACTACATTGTCAACAATCTTATGTGACTGTAAATTTTATTCTAATAGTTTATTTTCTCGTATTTCTGTGGGAATCTCTTCTGGTTTCTTACATTCAGGTCACCTAGAATGTTCAAAATTTTAAATTCAACATCAATCGCCATGTTCTCTTTTTCTGAATCCTTTTCTTATATTGTCAATTTACCTTCACTAAAGTTTTCTTATTTTCTTTCATTCTCAGTAGCCTCGTGGCATTATCACATTGCTTGGGGTGAAATGATTAAAAATATGTTTTTATATTATTAATATATGAATATTTTTTGTCCTCAATTCTATCTTTCTAGTCATTGTGCAAGGCGATTTTATTTTTTGGATCGAGCTTTGATGCGAGAGAAATTCTTATATTTTCGTAATTCTTATCTTATTCTTGTTCTTATATTTATTCTTATCCTATATTCTCCCTATTCTTATCAGATACTTATTCATAATCTTATTCAGTTTATTCTATCTATTTCCTTATTCTTATCTTATTCTTATCAGATTCTTATTCTCATTCTTATTCTTCTTATATCCTCCTTATTCTTATGTTATTCTTATCAGATATTTATTCTTGTTCTCATTCTTATCTTTATTCTTATTTTATATTCTCTTCATTCAGTTTATTCTTATCTTATATCTCCTTATTCTTATATTATTCCTATCAGATTCTTATTCTTATTCTTATCTTATATTCTTCTTATTCAGTTTATTCTTATCCTCAATTTCCCCTTTTTAGTCGTGATGCGAAGCGATTATATTTTTTTCAATCGAACTTTGATGAGAGAGAAACACATTCTTCTAATATTTTTTTCCTTTTATTTTGCTTTTATCAATATATTTTTTTCTCTTTCGAAGTTCTATTCATGGAGACCGTATTTGTTTTCTTTTTATCTAATCCCCCCCTCTCTCTCTCTCTCTCTCTCTCTCTCTCTCTCTCTCTCTTAAAGATAAATATGACAGTTTTTATAGCATTAATTTGGCTCTGTCCTCCCAAATAAGTCCATTTTTTTTTTTGCACTTTGCTCTCTAGCGATTATGTGAAAGTCGTTTGCCCAACTTGTTTCTTCTTCATTAACAATTGTCCCGGAAACATTTATCAATGGCACAGAGCGCGACAAAATATAAATTCAAGCTTTTCCTAAGACCGTCTCGCCGAAGCTGAGCATCGAACCTCGTCCTTCTATTGTCTTTCCTGTGCTCATAGCTACGGTGCCACTTCCCACTATCACTGTTCTTTATTACTGTACCTGGTATTCTGCAGTAATACATATAGTAGTCTCCACAGTTTCCTTTTATCTTTTTAATATCTGTGAAAAGCCACGACTTCCTGCGAAAGATAACGTAGTGGCTTCTCGTTGCCTTTTCCATTTCTTTTAGACTGGTTGCCATCCAAGTCTTGAGAGTCCAATCTAGCCTGGTATTTAATACATAGCCGTAAGAGATAGATTCATATCGCTTCCAAAGAACATTGTGCGAAAGTGAACGCAACTAGGTTCGTCATTTTCCAGTGACGTTAAAACACCGGTTTCCGTACGATCACCGAAGTTAAGCAACGTCGATCCTCGTCAGCACCTAGATGGGTGACCTCTTGCGTATACCAAATGCCGTAAATTTGGATGTGTAATGGATAATGGGTCGCAGTTGTTAATCAGAAAGCTGAGTTCAAATTCCAGTTGGGTTCATTATTACGTCTAAATATTCTTAAGAAAGGTATGAATCCAGCTCTCCTCCTCCAGCTATGGGTTAAGTAGTAAGACTTGTATCACTAAATATAATGAACCCTACTGGAATTGGAACTCGGCTCTCCGATTAGCGACTCCGAATCAGTGTACATTACACCACCTGCACATCCAAGCTTACAGCACCTGTTATTCCCAAGCGGTCACCCATCTAGTTAGTGACCAGGTTCGACATTGCTTAACTTTGGTGTTCTTACGGGAAACGATGTTTCAACATGATGTGACCGTAAGCCACCCCCACTCCCAAGTGTATAGGCAGCCTCTGATTGGATTTTTTTGGTGCATGTTAAATGAGTCTCTTAGTATTTCTCATAAAAATTGTGGTATAAATGGGATTAGCAGTATAAGCCGTCTTTGCCCGGGTCTTTCATTACTGGGAATTTTCGCCGTTCACTTAGAGCAGTTTAAGTTTAAAGTCAGCCCACCTGAAAATTAATATTAGTAACAACATTTGGGTGCAACTGAGGCACATCCCCAAATAGAGGGGGGTGTAACAATTTAAATGGGGGGTGGTGCTGAAAAGGAAACTGTATAATATTATTGTAATAATTTAAACTATTTATTTTTATTAAAGTTTTTATGAAAGAACAGATAGTAAATAGTAAAACTTTGCTGAGAATTATAATGGACAGGAAGTAGTGGAGAGCAATTGTCGTCAACAATTTGGACTCAAAACCGGCACTGAAAAATTATCTATCAAACAAAAAAAAAATTCATCAAAATCGGATAAAAACTGGGGAAATGCATAAACAACATCCGATCACACACACATACACACACACACACACACACACATTTTGAGAATTATAGATATAGATATCCTATAAAGTAGACACACTTCAGATACAATGTGTGGGTGGTGTATGTTATGGTACAGATGTGCCACTTCCACCCTCTGGCTGCCCACTGTTTTCTCATTACCACCCTTGATCTTTCCACTGTCCCTATGGAGAGGGTGTATCGCCCAATTTAGAAATCACTAATGTATAATATTAATAACTGCTCATCACAGAAATTCCGACAGAAATTAATTCAACACTCGTTTGTTTTATTCTAACGATATTTTCCTGTTTCAAAATACATTGTTTAGTTTTTTGATAGCAGGAAAAAACTTCTGGTCGTTTGAACTATAACTTTCTCCTTCTTCTATGTGTCACTCACAACTTCAACTTGATTCACAAATTGAGCTCTCTATTCATGACGTCATTCACATGCCCATTATCTACACGCCCTCAGAACCGAACAGAAAAATAAGGAGTTGTTAACACAGAAAGAATGGTTTTCATTCAACTATCCAACCCCACTCCCCAAAAATGCATTAGTGATTGGTCAATAGTGAAACTTATCTTTTCGTCCTTTTCTACGTCTTCTATAGTAGAAATATTATCGCCAAATTTAGCCAGATAACCTTCTTCCTGTTTCGCTAAAGCTACATCCTGTTTCTGACTTTTCCGTCATCTTGTTTAGTTAACGTCATTAATGATATCTAAGACCCACCTATGACTGCATTTCTTTTTTCCTGTCTTCGTCAACGCCAAAAGACGACAACGATGTATTGATTTATTGTTTTTATCATCTGAAGTCCGGAGATACGATGTTGTTATTAATATATATTCGTTCGAGTCCATTTCCTCTGAGTGGTATCCCCGTAAAGACTTCCACCGGAAGAAAACCTGACTAGGAATTCGTGAGTCAAGAATTAAATGCGATTTAGGCAGAAAATACGACGATGAACCCAGCCAATCCCTAAAAATAAAACCTTACCATTCCATTATCTTATAGCCTTATTCAGCTATATAATTCGGGTTTTTTTCTTACAGATTATGCACCTGAAGACGGCTGTAGAATAGATTGACGAGAAAGTTGTTGTAACAACATTGACAACACAAAGATTAATTTAATTATCTTGACAAAGCTTGGAATATTTATGATATTTCTAAAATATTTTCTTTATTGATTTTACGATAAAAATTAACAGCATTTGGGTGTAACAAAGGTATTTTCGTTTTATATGTCACACTTTTTTCATATATGTATGTATTACGCTACTTATAGTACTTTTCGATGGCCCTGGCTCTCTGAAAACCTTAGACTGTTCGTGACTGTTTTAAAGCATCTTAATCAACAAGTGGTGGTTGCCCATTTACAGTTTTATTTCGGTAAACAAGTTACCAGCCTTAACACACGTAAAACATCTAAGCAAATAGTGTTTAATTTCTCACCATTGCATTGTCAACGAGTTCTAGAATGCGCCGATTGCATACCTACAAAAGATTTAGCCTATCGGGTGCATGCTTGCATACTAGCGTATGACTATTGTTTACCAATAGACCCAAGTGTAAACAAGGCCAATGTTTAACTATAGACTCAAATATAAACATGGCCGATGTCTAGTAATAACATGAATAAGCAAATAAAATGTTTCAGGATCATATTCCAATTGGCGGGAAGATAAGAAATTCCAGTCATAAATTTGTAGTAAAAATAATAAAAGAATAAATATTAACAGTAATAACAATAGGAGTCTGAATATAAATAATAATGATAATATAAAATGTATGAAAATGACAACAGTAGTAATAATAACAGAAAATTATCTAAATAGTCATAGTAATAATAATATGAAACTATAGAAATAACAATAATAATAATAATAATAATATTTTTCATAAAGGAGTAACGGACCAGATATTCCTTTTTGATCGTAAATATACTGCCCCTATGTCTATGACTTCGACTGTCCTCTCACTGCCCCTCTCTACATCTTGACGTACGGTTTGTGACTGGTCTCTTGTCATCAATAATTCCAGTTGTAGTTGGAACCCTCAGATTGATTGGAAAAGTTTCCGATAGACTCATTGAAAGGGTTCCTGGTAGACTATGCCTTAAAGATATACAAAAAAATTGTACTCACAAGTACAGCTCACATATTACGAAGAGCTTTATCAATGTAAAATGTGTGTAATCTTTGTTTTTTGTTTTATTTTTACAAAAATGATCAGTGGAAAATATCATGAAGCTATTTCTGATATTAGGTCTCTGGTTGGGACCCGGAAGGAAATGCGCATACAACAGAAATCAAAGAAAAAAATGATAAAGAGAGAATTTATCGAAATAATAATAACAACGTCTCATGTCACATTCTTGACAGGAGGCCAATCACAAGAGATGTAGAGAGGGTAGTAAGAGCTAGTCAAAGCCAAATATGGGCATAGGAGCAGTATGAGTTCTTGCGAGCCAAAAGGAAAGCCTGGTCTGTTACTCTGTCATAAAAGAAAAAAATAGCAACAAAGATAACCCAAAACAGTGTCAGGTGAAACCATGAATAAAGAACCTAATATATTGAAAATAGGACCCGTGTCTTCATTTCTTATCGTGGCGATATTTTCACTTTCCGTTCCTGTACTGAACTACACCAGACCTTCTGGAAAAGCTCGATTCCATGTTTAACCCTCTAACCATTAGACCACTCCTCGCCTCCCAATCTGCTGGAAATAGTCACGTCTCATCACGTGACCCGTAACGCATTAGGGTCGTAGGGGCATCACATCTACTGTAGTCATGGCAACAGCAGGATGTTTCAGGAAAGGTAGTCTGACGAAGCCCATCCTTCTTCCAGCTGATTTTTAATGCAGAGTTTTCCTTCTCCTGGACTGGTTGCCACCCCAAGGCAAGAGAACCCAGACTGCTCTGCTATTTGACCTATATTGGAGGAAGATGCACTCAATGCTTTTCGAAGGGCATTAGCGCAAAGTGAACGAAATTGAACACGGCACGCCTAATTCATTTTCTTTTTTTTGCGACGATAGCCGCTAGACTACCCGCGCTTCAAATACAGTATATAGACACTGTTTTAAACGACGAATATAAGTGCTGTTCAAAATGTTAATGAGTAACTTCTAAATAGCCCCTGACAACTGCATTAGTGTATTTATAGCATGCAATTCTAGAGAGTAAAAGCATTTTTTAAAAAGAAATTGTATTCTTTGAGTCTGAAATATCGTCATTCTCCAGTGAAGATAACAGAGATATAAAATAATCGCTCGTTAGATATCTGCCGATAACAGATAAATATTGAAGGTATCTTAATAAAAGATTTTTTTGCCGGCGAACTTATCAAAAACAGAAAATAATTCTGATACGTTACGCTGATTTCTGGTTTATCAGAGGAAATGCACTTCTCACTCACAGCGGGAGAAAGATCTTCGAATAGAATTGGTAAGCAACTGAGCGCTCGTTCAGGGTCGGGCTTGGAGGTGGGCTTCGGCATGACTGCTCGACATTTAATTTACATATTTCCCGTTGGTGTCCACATGAATGTCAAACGTAACTGTATCTCTTAACAAGTAAATGGGAATGGCGACGACTTTTGTTGGTCACGCAGAAAGAAACTAGTAAAGTAACCGGAAGAAAAATCTTGAGGAGAGAAATTAATGAAGAATGTGTCTAAATAACTTTTTTTTATTTTTTTACAATGATGTTCGCCCTATATAAGGCCCAAGAAACATTCGATGTAGAGTTACAGAATAAGAAGCACAGTTTATGGAAATATGTGGGAGAGATAACATATTGACCCTTGCTTTGAACAAGTTAAGATTGTAAAAAGAAAAGAATGAACACTAACAGTAATAATGATAGGAGGCTAGATCTAAATAATAATAATATAAAATGCATCAAAATGACAACAGTAGTAATAAGAACATGAACATTATCTAAATAGTTATATTAAGAATAGTAGGAGGATATCATAATAATAATAATAATAATAATAAAAGCTCAAAAATGTGGCACATGGGAACATCAACAATCCCTGTTGTAGTTGGAGCCTTCGGACTGGTTGGAAAAGATTCCAGTAGACTAATTGAAGGGATTCCTGGAAGTCTATGCATCAAAGAAACGCAAAAATTGTTCTGACAAGTACAGCCCACACTTTACGAAGGGCTTTATCTATATAATTTTTTTTTGTCATGATGCTATTTCTAACCTTAGGTCCCTGGGCGGGACCCGGAAAGAAATGTGTAAAGGTCAGAAATCAAAGAAAATAAAAATAATAATAATAATAATATGAGAATGTGCGGGTAGTGTAGTGGATATCGGTACGAAAGTGGAATCGGGTCGCTTTGTTCAAATTCTGGGATAGTGTGTCGCGTTCACTTTTGCCCAAATGCCTTGAGAAAGACATGACCCCCACCCCCACCACCAACAACAACTATATGGTAAATAGTAAGGT